TTTTGTTTGTTGTCTGAAAAGGCCATTAAAATTGGATAATTTAGTAAAAACATATTGAGACACAAAGTGTTCACTTTTGTATATACTGTGGATTTATTGTACGAGTGATGCCGTGTATGATATATAACGTTAGACACTTCCCTCCCCGGTTGAAATATTCCGGAAATATATTTTTGGGAGTAAAGATATTTTATCTTCCTGAAAACAGGGAAAATAAGATAAAATGTGGTCAAACGACGACCAGTCGATGGATATAAATAGTTTTTTCTAACTCAATCTAACTCTAAGTATCTCAATCTAGTTAAACATATGTCAAAAGATTCTATTAAATTTATTCGATTAATTTAATTAAAATTAATTTTTGAACAAAACGTAAACAAGTGCAAAATATTTGGACTTAATTAGCATTTATGAATACATTATTTCCCTTAAAATTTATATCTTTCGAGAAATTACCGTATTTTGGGCAGGAAGATATTGGGATAATAAGAATCTTCCGAAAAGTGTCTAACATTAATGATATATAAGGTAAATGAATGCATTGAGACGATCCGCCGTTTAAGTTATCAGCCGATCATATAATAAAACTTTTATAGCTTTTTATCTGAGTTTTAGACTAACATAAACTATTCGAGGGAAACATAATTTGCTTTAAGTGTCCAATTATGACATATTTGAAGATAATTTCTCCATTTGTAAAATTAACAAAAATATTTTAATGCATAATATTTTTTATCTACGAGAAGAGTAATGGTTTTATTGATTAAAGGGATCATAAAGAACTGTCTCGTAATTATGTCAAAAACTTGTTTTACGAATCGATTATTAGTTTAAAAAAGAAATAAAGAGTAGAAAAATATGTTTTAAAGCATATTTCAAATAAATTGTTTTATAGAATAAATTAACTCTAAATTGAATGTAAAATTAATAATGTCTTACAGATTGTAGTGGACATCAGCCATATTGAACCTATAGGTGAGGGCTTTCTTATAAGCATTTTCTGCTTCTTTCTTCTTTGACTGAGCGCTCAATATATTCGCTAAATTTCCATAAGCTATGAAATAAAGTGCATATTTTGAGCCAAAAGTCAATATAGATTCTCATATTTTAATATTAGTATAAAAAAGACAATTATTTACGTGAAGGAAATGATTTGCCTTACCTTTTGGTGGATTGATATCAATGCCCGAACGATAGAGATTTTCTTCTGAAAGCCAATCAATATTTCTGATAAATGTTCGCAAAGAAAATGATATCAAAAGTAGTGATAATGCAATAAATGTGACAAATCTAATGGTTTTGCGTTTAAGAAGTGAATCGATTCCTATAGCTATGAGAAGGCAATATCCGAAACTAGGAATATATAGTATTCGCTCTGCGATCACAAATCCCACGTAAAAGAAGAGATTTGTGGCCGGAATGAAGGGAATGATCAATAGAGACAAAGCCATTGTTATGCAATCAGTTCTGGTCATCGTTGAGTTATATGTCTCCTCCAAAGTGCTATTCACACCACTTATCACTCCATTATTATTAGTGCCTCCGATGTTGTACTCGTCTTCACTGCACAACGAATTATTATTATTAGACTTGAGATTAAAGGGTCGTTTCAAGTGTTTGTAATGCGAGTGGTGTTGGTGTTGATAACAACACGGAGCACAACCACATCCNGTTTCCCTCGAATAGTTTATGTTAGTCTAAAACTCAGATAAAAAGCTATAAAAGTTTTATTATATGATCGGCTGATAACTTAAACGGCGGATCGTCTCAATGCATTCATTTACCTTATATATCATTAGGGCAACCGTTCGGATGCTTTTTGGATGCTTTTTCATAGTTTTGAACACAATAATGACTATTAAAACTATTTGTTCATTGAGTTAGCATGAGTTAAATACTATATGTTATGATTTTTTGACTAATTCATGGCTTTTATTTAGTCTGCATATTAAATGACTCATATTCTGGTTGCCCTATATATCATTAATGTTAGACACTTTTGGGAAGATTCTTATTTTCCCAATATCTTCTCTCCCTAAAGATGTAAATAAGGGAAATAATGTATTCATAAATGCTAATTAAGTCCAAATATTTTGCGCCTTTTTAAGTTTTGTTCAAAAAAGGATTCAAAAATTAATTTTAATTAAATTAATTGAATAAATTTAACAAAATTTTTTGACATAATATATTTAACTAGATTGAGATACTTTAAGTTAGATCGAGTTAGAAAAAACTATTTATACTAAAAACTATCCATTGACTGGTCATCGTTTGACCACAATTTATTTTATTTTCCCTGTTTTCAGGAAGATAAAATATCTTTCCTCCCAAAAATATACCCCCGGAATATATTCAACCGGGTAGAGAAGTGTCTAACATTATATATCATACACGGCATCACTCGTACAATAAATCCACAGTATATACAAAAGTGAACACTTTGTGTCTCAATATGTTTTTACTAAATTATCCAATTTTAATGGCCTTTTCAGACAACAAACAAAAACAAATTGGCATTGTTTTGATGTGAATTAGATTATCCAATAAATTAATAGTAAAGAATTAAATTAATAAAAATATCATTAATGACATATATTGGTCAATTTAGTTGCATGAGTACTCTAGAATATATTATACAAAATATTCAGTAGACTTGTAATATAATATACAAAATTTCAAATCTATATGATTGAGTTAAATTGCAAACATAACCGGACTTTATTTGGTGGAACTATTAACTAATCAAATATTTTAAACTGTGATTATAATAATTGCTAAATTGTGTGTAATTTTATTTGAAAAAACAGAGGAATTCTACTACAAGAACAGGGAAGATATGAAGAAGCGCTGCAAAGTTATAAATACGCGGTTCAGTTCCGACCACGACTAGCAATGGCTCACTTGAATATGGGCTTAGTATTGGTTCAATTGGGTAAAAAACAAGAAGCAATCGATGTCTACAAACACTGCACAACAATAGACGGGACGGGACTTAAAGATCCGAAACTACACGAAAGCACCAAAATATCGGCGCTCTTTAATTTGGGGCGCATTTATGCCGACGACTCTAACTATGAGAAGGCGTTAGAGATATACTTCGATGCGATCGAGAAGATGCCAAACCACTACCAAACACAGTCTCTATACAATATGGTGGGCGAAGCCTATTTCAAGTTGGGTCAGCTCACAGATGCAGAACATTGGTTCAAACAGTCACTGGCGGCCAAATCGGATCACATTCCGGCTCATCTCACTTATGCCAAACTGTTGGCCAAATCTAATCGCATTCAAGAATCGGAACAATGGTTCCTAAAGGCCAAACTCTTGGACCCCAACGACCCAAGTGTTTACCAACATTACGGTCAGTTGTGTTTGCAATTAGTGTTGAAAACATTTCGATAACATATTTATTTTTAGGTCAATTCCTGTCCGAACAAGAAAGATATGAAGAAGCGATTGAATTGTATTTAACAGCAGTAAAACTGGCGCCCAATGACTACGAGATTGTCTTCAATACTGCTAATACGTTACGTCATGTAAGCTAATTGACGCTTAGTATTGGACTGAAATTAATTAAATATTAATATATAGATTAAGCGCAACGAAGAGGCAGAGAATTATTACCGACGGGCGACACGATTGCGGCCAAAGGAAGCGACGAGTCATATGAACTTAGGAGCTATGCTTCACGTGAATGGAAAGCTCTTGGAAGCAGAACTCAGTTATCTGGAAGCGCTTCGCCTTAAACCGGATGATATGATAACTCAGAATAATTTGGCAAAACTGAGACATTTGCTAAACCAGAAGAGAGCCGATCTATAAAATGCATTCCAAACCATAATAGAAAACAAAACATTTTCTGTGAGACTAAACCAAATGGAAGCAAATTCTAGTCATTAATTCATATACTATACCATAAATTGTATTACATTTTCCATTGACTTCTATTTTGAATGATTTCTAATTCCACATAATTCTGTGATATTTGCGATTATAAATCACAATAAGTCTATCGATTTAACAAATATTTTAAGTATTAATACATTTTTAAAAAATATTAAATAACAAAAAATAACAATTAATATATTATAGAATTCCTCACCGATTCTGTGATTGGTTTTTGCAATGATTTTTCAGTTTTACAAAACAATAAACAAATATAAATACCACTTTTATTACCACTAATATATAAATTAATTATAATTAATATAATTAACATAAAATTTCTACAGAATATTGAACGGACGGCCCATTCTTGAGGTCACAAATACTCAAATTATACATTATGTGAGTTATATTACTATAACTTGACTTTATATATGAATCAATAAAAAAAACAATTCAATTAATAAATGATTTAATTGATTGAATCAAAACAATGAAAACTTCTTATTGGCACTAGCGTATTTCAGCATATTCATCGACACACCACTGGCTATGTCTTCGGCAGTCTTGGTCTGTCCGTAATAGTCGATGAACTCTCCCTTCGGGTTAATTAAGTACATTATAATCGTGTGATCGACGATATAATCGTTCTCGTGATCGCGAGGACCGGCCGAATAGTACNTGTCTTCGGCAGTCTTGGTCTGTCCGTAATAGTCGATGAACTCTCCCTTCGGGTTAATTAAGTACATTATAATCGTGTGATCGACGATATAATCGTTCTCGTGATCGCGAGGACCGGCCGAATAGTACACCCGATAGGCACGAGTGGCCGCCTCTATCTGTTCCTTAGTTCCCGTCAAACCGATTATATCTTCGGAGAACTCTTTGAGGTATCCTTTGACGGCTTCAGCCGAGTCTCTATCGGGATCTACTGTTATGAATACGGCTTTGATTTCCTGAGTGTCTTGTAGTTTAGAGACAATTTCAATGGCTTTGACCATCTTTTCGATCTCATCCGGACATATGTCCGGACAGTGAGTGAATCCAAAGTACAGGAGAAGCCATTTGCCCAATAAGTCTTTGGATGAGAAGGGTTTGCCATTTTGGTCGATGAGATCAAACTGACCGCCGATCGACGCCTTTCCCATCGAACGCCTCCTCTCCTTCTCTAACGATAACATCTTCTCTCTCTTGAACTGAAGAAATGCCACCAAAAATACGGTGAAAAGCCCTCCGGATATCAGAAATGATTTCCACGAAAACAGGTTTCTCTTGGAGTCATCGATTCCCGCCCTCCGACTCATTGTCTGTCAATACAAATCCAGTCATTCAATGCATTCAAAAACAATACCGGTCTATGACTTTACCCGTATGAATGATCTCAACAGATGGATCCGCTTCTTCTCATGGCATGACTGCGAGTGAATGAGTCGATGTGTTGGCCCAACGATGGCATAACACGTCAGTGTCTTTCGCGAAGACAATGACAATAGTCTCCCGATTGAAGACATGATGCAATTGTGGTAAACAATTATCACGTGTTTTCATCCGATGTTGAGATCAGTGATGTGTCGCCCATTCAATAGAGTGCTCTCTCTCTCTCTCTCTCTCTCTCTTTCAAACTTTTTTGGAATTAAAAGTAATATTAAAGACAATACTTAACTCTTATTTAAATTCAATTTTATGTTTTAATTTACTTTCAATTATTCTCTGCATATATAGTATTAAATTAATATTAAATTTGTGGTTAAAAAGTTATGTAAATTGATTTGTATTAGACTTTTCATGGAATATATATACAGTATACTGTATATTTATAAATTATAAATAATAATGAATAAACTTTACATAGATGGATTATTTAGATTCAATGTTATAATTGACTATACATTACTGTAGAGTAGAGAACACGTGCTTTTGGATTAACTTTAACCCCTATTCTAATGCCTAAATATAAATATAAAGACATAGAAATAAATTGAAATCTCAATATAAAAGTCATGTTGTTTTTGGTGAAACAAAACTTAAATTTTAAGCTTTTTATTCATATTTCATTAGTGTCTCGTTTATCAATTCATTATCAAACTAATGATTAGTACTTTCTTTTAAAATATCTAAATTCTGTGTATAATATGAAATATCAATCATTTGACTCATTGTCCGCTTTCTTGTATTACAATTGTATCAATAATATTAGTAAATACCCATTTATTTACACATTTATCTGATTATAAAAACTAATTATTGGTTAAACCAGTTGTCAAAACAATACTTGAAATGAATTTTCAATTTAAAATTATTGATAACGTGTTAATTGATTTTCATAACAAAATGATTGCAATCATTGGTTCGTAATAACGAAAGAATAAGTTTGGATACAATTTGTGATAAGATTTATGGCTTAAAACTTAACGTTTAGTGAAATAATATAGTTTTAAGACAATGTGATCGACACATCTGGAGCTGTAAATCCATTAAATTGAATATTATGTAGAATTGAGATAATAATTCAAGGCTTAATACATACATAATATATAACTTTTGATTTTTAATTTTTAGTAAAATTATTACAACTAATATACTATGTATTCATTAATTGTATTCATGTTTCTTAATATAAGTTTCGGATTTATTAAGATTTCTT